ATAAGAGATGAACTTGTCTGATGCCCCCGCTCACGCCTTCCGTCTTCCTCGGCCAAAACCCACGTGTTGGGAGTGGGTTCGTTTCCTTCTGTTGTTCCACTAAAGAAGTAGTGCAGCACGCCTGCGGTTGGTGTAGTCGGTTAATAAAAGCCTACTTGCAGGTGAAGCACGGACGGACGCCGACCGCGGCGCAGTTTTATCCTAAGTAGGATATAAATCTTTAAGGGAACCGCCCGCTCTCGAAGACCCTGCCCGAAGCTCGGCGCCTGCGCGCCCAGACCATTCTCGTCGGTAACTGAATCTCACCGAGCTGCGATTTGGCCGCGTCAGCCGTCGCGTCTTGCGAGTCACCTAGTCCCGCCAATGCTTCGGTGGAGGAAGCAGAGGGCCCCGTCCACACAAACCTAGTAACAGGTCACGACTTTTCTGGTCCGGTCAAAGTTAGAAGTTACCCGGGAACCGGACTATCTTTTCCACGCCGGCCTCTCGTCCTCCAACAGTTGAGTTTACAGTGCTATGTACCGGGTAAGAAGAATAAGGGAAATGTGCCTAAGTCAGAGGACCAGGAAACGTCTTTTTGGTCGGGGTTTGTACTATAAAGGTGGGGGTAGCAAAGTTGTCATCCATACCACAAGAAACCTCTACGTTGGTCGTAAGAACGAGGAGGTTTGTGAGATCAACTAAAATGGTTTTCATAATAAAACCACGTAGCTGGTATTCACTGTAAGAGGGTTAGGAGAAGACCCTAAGCCTAAGGTTTTAACGGAGAGATCCGTGAAGTCTGCCCGGACCTGTACATTGACCGAATTCCGTCCACCCTGTGCAGGCCCGTTGCGTACCTACAACTCAGGGGACCGCCGCATCACCCATGACTACCATACGGAAACAAATGAAACCAGGGTCGAGAGACCGTCCAGTAACTCGAATCGCAGGGGGGCACATCAAGACCCTAAAACGAGTGGCAAGTCTTTGCCACTCGTTAATTGCTACAGGGCCCCTGGTATGTTAAGGATGACCCTGGTGTTTAGTTTAAAACAGACCCTTGAATAAAGCCCTTCCGTCCACTTTTGTTTTATTTTCAGTTGAAGTTTTTACCCAGCAATAACGTTTCATACACCCGACGAGTTTAGATCTTACGAAAGATGCGGCAGTGGAGACGACCGACTGACGACGATTCTGAGGCGCGTTTTTCGTTGCCAGTGTGTCAATTTTTTTTCTTCTTTCTTACCGACTCCCACCAACTTATTTGTCGGGGAGCTAACCGTTCGGGGTAAAGACGGCCTGACGGCTTTGCTTGTAGGGTTCCGCTAGTAGGCTACCGTACGCAGAAGGTAGACTACCATATCAATCCAACAGGAATTCACAGTTACCAATCCGATTGCGATCGATTGCGATCGTTGACTTCACAGCGGAAATGTTACCGTAGTTCGCTAGGATTTTAACGCACAGTTACAAGGAAAACTTCAAGACACTTTTACTACACTTTATTTCAACTAGTCCTATTCTCCAAACCGGATAGTAAAAACGATAAAGTAAACAGTCGCGTCAGTCACTGCGTCCGATCTAGAATCGACATTTTTGCATTTCCGTAAATTCGATTAGTAATTCGAAAAGTAGGAAAAACCACAAAATAAAAAAAAAACCAGTTCTAACTTGACGTCAGGTCTTAACCCACTTGCTAATCTTTCCCCAGCGCTTCATTAAATCACAGTTAGTTGAGACCATACTTTATTACAACAGTACATTCTCTCTCATTACAGCGTCAAACAAAAACACCGATCGATTAGAGGGTCATCTTGAAAAAGGGAAGTTTCGTTCCGATGTTACATGCATCACTACCGTGAGCTACCCGTGCAAGCACCCGTGCGAGCGAGCTTTCGCACAGAAATTGTTCTTGCTTGACTGGCACTGTAAACACCGTACAGACGTAAAAAACCCTAGGTCGCCTTTTTATACAAATATAGATTATACTTTGCGTTTCTGATTTTAATTACGACATCTTTTTTTTTTATTTTTTTTTTTTTTATAGTTTTCTGATTCTAATATCTACCGAGTATGTTTGAACAACATAAAAGGGTGAAAACATTTGTAAATAAAATGTTAACTATTACAAAAAACAGGAAGATGTAGATATAATTTTGTTTCTGTCCCCAGCCGAGTTCTGGTAGTAGTCCCCGAAATTCATCCCTACCGTGGCCGCCTTAATAGCCCGGTGGGCTTTTGTTAGCCGGGCTTTTACCAATTTTTCCGGGAAAAGCCCAAACGCCCCGGCTTAAAGTTCTCTGTGCCCAATGCAACTAGTTAGTGGAAGGCGTATAAACAGGCCCACAAAACTAAGTTCAAACCACCTCATTCAGGCTTCACACCTTTCAGAAACGTCAATGTGGGGGAGGCTCTTTTATAGTCCGACTTGTGTCAAATGTTTAGCGTTAGGCGACGGGAGAGTGCAGACTATAAAACTTTATAGAGGTCTTCGCCGCTGTACAACCGACAACTTCTCGTCCGGCCGGCGCTCGAGTGCGACCAGCGTGTCGGCACGAACAAGCGGCGCAAAACTAATGAAGTAGTCGTTGTTGTGCATCCATGGTTTGAATTCTCGTTAAAACAACTTCCGGACCGTCAGAAATAAATGTCGATAAAAACAACATACCGGATTGACCAGGATCTTACAAAACTACGTCAAAATTCGTGGAACCGAAACAAGAACTACGTGAAACAAAAACATGCAATCAGGATGTCTCTTTTTCTTTTCGTTGAACTGAACCTTAATTACATGACACAACCGTAATTGTCCACGACTTATTTACAAAATACCTGGGTATACACTTAATTAATTAAATTCAATTCAAAAACGGTTATTAGTACTAGAAAAAGGTATTAGTCCATTCGACTTGTTGTAACATTTTTTTTTTTATATATATATATATGAGACGATAATTAGTAAAGCGTAAAGCCCGTCAAGCCAAAAGCCCGGTTCGACAAAAGGATAAAAGCCATAAGGTCAAAGCGGTTTTTAATAGCGTAAGCTACGTGGGGGATCCGAATCTGTTTCAAAATATGTTGTACATGGGCCCAACACCACCCACTTACTCACTCTCGTCTACTAACCTGTAAGTACCTTACTTTCTATCTTCGGTACGTTAATATAGGATATCCATGATGACTGAAGCCTTTCCTATTGACATTAATCTTGTACTTTGTCTATGTAAATAATTTGAAATACCTTGAAGACAAAAAAAATAATAGTAAGTAGTGGTGAAAATAACGGTCTATCTTCCAAGCTAAGTACGTTTTGTGGTCTCTGGTATGTCGGTATGGTATAACTTAACTTTTATGTTTAGGTCTTAACGAAGTTACAACTTGCGGTTACTTTAATTTAAAACTCAGACTATAACTCTTTTGGTTATCTTTTTGTACAGAAAATTTTTGTTTGAGAGAAAGGGAAAGATTTGAGGGAATCCTTCTCCGTGTCTTAGTTTCTTTGATTATAAGTATACAAAAAAAATTTTTCTTAAATTTCATTAAAAAAAAAATTTTTGAATGTTACCACCTGGTTCTTCAGATTTTTACCAACCCAAAAAAAAAAAAACTTTTTTACTAAATTTCAACAACCCATTTTGTTTTTTTCATAGTTTTAAAATTATAAAAAATAAGACGTATTTAATTCCCCCTTTTTTTTTGCTGCTTTATTGTTAAAAAATTTTTAAAACCTTTTTTGTTTTTTTGACGACCAATTATAAAGGGCCCTTGTTTTTAATGTTTTTTTTTCATTCTTTTTAAGCCCTGTTCCAAAAAAAAAAAAAAAACACCCTGTGACTTTTCCCTTTTTTCAAATTAAAGCTCGGGACTGGGCAAAAGGAAAAACACTTTTTTAGTTTAGAACTTTGGGTTGCCCCACCTCTTGTTGAAAAAAACGCACCTTTCGGGGGTCTAAAGCTCCCCCTTTTCTTTAAATAGTTCACCCCAGGGGGAAACATTTTTACAGAAAAGGGTAAAAAAGGAATTTATTAACGAAAAAAGGGTTTGTTAGAAGCATTTCAAGGTCCTGGAGTGGCCTAGCCAGTCTCCAGATCTCAACCCCATAGAAAATCTTTGGAGGGAGTTGAAAGTCCGTGTTGCCCAGCGACAGCCCCAAAACATCACTGCTCTAGAGGAGATCTGCATGGAGGAATGGTCCAACATACCAGCAACAGTGTGTGAAAACCTTGTGAAGACTTACAGAAAACGTTTGACCTCTGTCATTGCCAACAAAGGGTATATAACAAAGTATTGAGATGAACTTTGGTTATTGACCAAATACTTATTTTCCACCATCATTTGCAAATAAATTCTTTAAAAATCAGAGAATGTGATTTTCTGGATTTTTTTTTTCTCATTTTGTCTCTCATAGTTGAGGTATACCTAGGATGAAAATTACAGGCCTCTCATCTTTTTAAGTGGGAGAACTTGCACAATTGGTGGCTGACTAAATACTTTTTTGCCCCACTGTATATAGATGATGTCTTATACTCTCATTGCCTTTTCCTCGTTTAAATAGTCAGACATATGATTAGGATTTACATTTCAGGAAGGGCAAAAGGTGGATTTCCAAATGGTTAAGGACTGTGGGGTTTTATGCTTTAATGGTGGGGATGTTTAGACAATGCCTAAGAGAATTGATGGGTGAGACCAGTTGGCTATTTTCTCTCTACTATATAGTGTAAGCTGTGTTCGGGGTGCAAAGCCATTTTATCCTTTGAGGATGAAGTTGCTCTGTTCCTGGGTTTGAGATTGATTTCAATTGTATATAAACTTTCTCTATTACTTTATTAAATATAGCAAAAGACAAACTTTGTCCATGAATCATTTATCAGTTTCTCTTAAGGGAATTAGAATGTCCTCCACAATGGGACTTTAAATGAACGTTTAAGAAAAACCTGAAAGTTTATAAGAACCTTTTCTGCTATGAAATGTGTTTCGGACACTTTATCAAAGTTGTTTTGATTGTCTGCCACAGGTTGCGTGCTGGCTGTTGGACCCTGGCAGTGAGGAGAGGACTCTACCCAACATGGTGACGGTCTACTGTCCTGAAGAGTTGTCTCTGCTGGGCGGACTTGGAAACCCGCATGCACACGATCCTCGTGTTAGGGCAGCAACCAAGAGCGTGCTCGTACACGCTGTCATGAACCATCTGACCGGCCTGCTAGAGAAAGACGGCATGCTTGGTATAAAGAGTATATATATATATATATTGTCACTCCTACTGCTATTTATTTAATTTTTACTTTATTATTTGCCCCTTTTGTTTGTTTGTTTGTTCACCATGTAAAGCGGCCTTGGGTGCCTTGAAAGGTGCTATACAAATTGAATCTAATATTATATTATTATTATTATTATTAAACAGTCTAACAGACATTCATACATTTCCAGAGTATAGATATAAGTGTGTAAAATATACGTAATTTAACCCTTTTTTAATGTTTTTAAATGCTCGTGACAGACTTATTCAGAAGCATTGAGATGCCCTCGCAGGTTTCTTTGGCTCTGTTGGAGCTGAATGGAGTGGGCTTCAGTGTTGAAGAGTGTGAAAGACAAAAGCATGTGATGCAAGCCAAACTCTCAGCGCTGGAGTCCCAGGCCTACAACCTGGCCGGACACAGCTTCTCCCTCACCAGCATCGACGACATAGCACAGGTCTGACCATTGTCCCAGCATAATTCAGCAGAGTAAAACTTCCCATTTCCAAACGTATGTGTCCTCATATACATGTGTACTATAGGTGTTGTTTTTAGAGCTGCACCTGCCTCCAAACGGTGACGTAGGTGGATCCAAAAGTAGGAAGACTCTTGGCTACACCAGGCGAGGCGGCAGCAGAGTACGACTTGGAAAACAGTTTAGCACCACCAAGGTGACATCTTGAAGTTATTACACTGTATCTGTTGTGTGAAGATCAGGTTATATTTGTGAGATAACGTGCCACTTTGTTTAAACCGAATTGTAATGGTTGGTAGGATGTTCTGGAGAAGCTCCGCCCTCTGCACCCGTTGCCAGGTGTGATCCTGGAGTGGAGGCGGATCACTAACGCCCTGACCAAGGTGGTGTTCCCCCTGCAGCGGGAGAAGCAGTACCACAACACACTGGCCATGGACAGAATATATCCCATCGCCCAGACACACACAGCAACAGGTAATACACATACACACACACAGACATTAAATACGCCTGTGTGTGGACACACCTTAATGTCATTGGTAATTTAATACTTTTGTTGGATACAGTTTTTATTTGAAGTAGAACTACAGCGTGCATTGACCAAGTTCATTCTGTTTTCAGGTAGAGTGAGCTTCACTGAGCCCAACATACAGAATGTCCCCAAAGACTTTGAGATTTCCATGCCCACGGTGGTGGGGGAGAGCCCACCTTCACAAGACGGCAAAAAAGGGTAGGTGAACATCAATATTCAGTTTATATCTGATGCATATAAACAAAAAAAACAAGATTATATTTTCCATATTTCAATTTTAACGTTTATTTATGGATTGTGCTGATACGCGTGGATTTGAGTCATCTATACACCTTCATTTGTTTTTCATATTTCTACTATCAGTCATATGAAAATCTCTGCAAAGACTATGACTTATAATACACCTATAACACTGCAATGCAAATCCCCCTTTGCTATGTTGATTTGAGATAGGGTTTAAAAGTGAAATAAAACATTTATCAATTGATAAAGACAGACTTTAGGTATTTAAAGTGAAAAAATAACATACTACATGATGTATGTGGGGGGGAATGGTTTGGAATTCCATGAGTAATCACCAAACTTGGCTGGAGTTACATTAAGGTTAATACTTTTGTCCAACTAATGCACATACTGTTTTGATACAGAAAGAAAAGACGCTCTGTGGTGACCTCAGAACAAGGCCCGGCCTTCTGTGTCAGCATGAGGCATGCCTTCGTTCCCTTTTCAGGTTACTATAATGATATAGTTGCTTTGTGTCACCTTTACTGTCTGCAACCTTGTCTCAGACTGCTCTACCAGTTGTGTCTCTCTGTACTGTGCTGTAGGTGGGATGATATTGGCAGCTGATTATTCTCAGCTGGAGTTGAGAGTGTTGGCTCACCTCTCTAAGGATCAACGCCTACTGCAAGTCAGTACAAAGCAAGGAAACATCACATAACTAACATAAAAAAACATGTCAAATAAATGAACCGTGGGCATTGCCAGGTGCTGAATGGAGGAGCAGACGTGTTTCGCTGCATCGCTGCTGAGTGGAAAAGCATTGACCCCGAGTCTGTAAACGACAACCTCCGACAGCAGGCCAAACAGGTACAGCTAGGCAGGAGAGAGAGAGAGACGGTCACATGGACCCGCATGCATTCTCACGGCTGTTGTCTTTGCAGATTTGCTATGGCATTATCTATGGGATGGGAGCGAAGTCTTTGGGGGAGCAAATGGGAGTGGAGGAGAACGACGCGGCCTGCTACATCGAGAGTTTTAAGGCTCGATACAAAGGTATACACTGCTGTTTGGTTTTCATTGTTATAAATTGTTTGTGCATTTTAATATTTTGCAGTTTGTCGTGGTAACAATCCTACAAAAATGAATTGTTCATAATGTAATCCCAAGCATTGTTTGCAGTTATTTAGTACTTTTATAAAAGAGGGTATAATCATTAGAAATACAGAAGTACAGGGAACAGAAATGAAGTATCCATGCCTTGTCTTGTGTTTCAGGGATCAATGCTTTTCTGAGAGAAACTGTGAAGAACTGTATAAAAAACGGCTATGTTCAGACACTGATGGGCCGCAGGAGGTACCTACCTGAGATCACTAACACCAATACGCACGTCAAAGGGCATGTAAGCACGTTCTTCATGGGAACTTTACATTGTTTATTTGTAAGATGGGCAATGTTTAATTAAAGTGTGATTATTGAATTGACTACATTACATCCCCGTGTCTTCAGGCAGAGCGTCAGGCAGTAAACACAACTGTGCAGGGTTCAGCAGCAGACATTGTGAAACTTGCCACCGTGAACATCCAGAAACGACTACAAAAAACATATCCTGCAGCTCCCCTCTCTCACCAGCACACACATTCAGGTGACTTAAATCTTATTTCCCCCATTATGTATACTCTACATGCAGAAATAGATTAACCATGTTCTATGATGTCTGTTATACAGCCAGCAGTAACCGCAGGGTGCGAACATCTCCACTCAGAGGAGCCTACTTTGTACTGCAGCTGCATGATGAGCTCATCTATGAAACCACAGAGGAAGACCTCATACAGGTAGGAACAGTATTTGGATTGCTAAATCATCAGTAGTGTTTGGTAGGTATTTTATAGTAGTTTAACAGGTTAGTTACAGTTGTATGCATGCATTGATAAGTCTCATTTCACAAAATAAAGAACAGGGCCCTAATATGATACAGTATGTTAGCAGTAAATGATTAGCCTGTGATGAAAGATAACAATTTGTTCGTTTTGAGTAATGTAGACTATATATTTCCTACGAATTCTAGCGGAGAGAAACTGGAAAAGCCCATACATAAACATCATTCTTTGTATTTCTGTCAGGTTGCTCATATAGTGAAGAGGGAGATGGAGTCAGCAGTAAAACTGTACGTAAAGATGAAGGCCAAAGTCAAGGTGGGACCCAGCTGGGGCAACTTGCAGGACCTAGATATATAATGGAAATGTGTTTATGTTCGACTAACATGAAATACATTTTCTGTAAGGTTCTGTAATATATGTTGGAGCTATCATTTGTACAGAAATCTGTATTTTTAAACCCTAAATGAACACAAATGAAATGCAAGATGAAAACATGCTTATGATGGCATATGAGCTCTAAATGAACTATTGAATGTATTTATGCTCTATCCAACAGTGTACAGTTATCAATTATATTTCTAGTATAGAATTGTATTTACTGATATCCCAACACGAGATGATATGCAAGATATGAGATGTTTGGGTTAATTTCTCTACTTTGAAAACATGTGGCTGCAACAACACTTATTTTCATGAATGAATAATGTGCTGGTGTTTTTTTTTGTGAATGGTTCACTTTATAAAATGTCAATTTTTAACAAAGGAACATAACACCTTCCCAGAGCGGTTAAGGTGAGGTGTATAAATGTATTGTTATTTTCCACAAATAGCCTTCATCTAATATACAATATATATTCTGTGTGAAGCTGGAGAATGTTTTGCCTTTTGTTCACTACTAGGAAACAGATGATTGAAATTTTATAAAAGAAAATCAGCAAAATAGTTGAAGGTTTTTTTTCTGTGAAAAAAGTAGTAGTTGTATATCTACTGTTATTATGTAAAACAAAGACACAGAGCAGCTTTAGTCTTGTGGACATCAAGAAATCTTATATTTTATTGGACCATTGGTTGAGTTGTCTGTCACAGGAACATACATCATTGTCACATGTTGACATTGTTTACACTTATGACATTCACTGCACAAGAAATGTTGTCGATATGATATGATATTTCCTGTGCAAAGTGAATTGCTGAACCTCTGGTTATGGGGAGAAAAATAAACGTGGCCAAATAATCATTTTGTGTCTTGGGACCGTAATTCTATTACATAATAGAAGTACGATTCACTATTTATACCCCCTTTATTGACTTTTGTCCATTGTTGATTCACAATTACCATGACTCCACGGAGCTCATCAACACAGGCTCAGTTTGACACAAAAGTGACAAGAATTATTAACAAGTAAATAAATACATGTCATGGACACACATCAATAAACAAATGCAGTTGTTTATCAAATAATGAATTAACAGCACAGATTTGAACAGACGTGTTTTGAAACAGTAGGAGTGTAATCCTGGATGGTTGAACAGATGTTTTGTGTCAGTCAAAACATTTTTTATTTCTGTGTGTGACAGCCATTGAACTCATGCCGTTAATCTAATGAAGAACATACTGTTTAACCAAATATGTTAAGTATTGTCAATGCAGTCGTTACCTAAGTATTTATCATGATAGGTTAGACTAGCAGCTACAATGAGTGGGTGGCTTTACATGGAAAGTAAAGCCCAACGGATTGAGGAGCGATTAAATCAAATTGCTGCTTTTCTGAATAGTTGGCACTTGTCAATAGCACAGTGACACATCCCTAAGAATTGATGTGCATCATGTGATAAAGCATGGTAAGATGCTGCCTGTGTGTTGCTCTGTAATGTTTTAGGTAATGCCCGTCCCCTTTGATATGAGGCAGTCAAGGTGATCATAAAAGAGAACAACCATCGGCAGACACAATGATAATCAGTATCTTTGGTGGTTTCACTGTTCTGACCTTTTGCACCTGGTAATTGTACATACATTATGATTTCTAGCCAATGAGAGGACAGAGGAAGAAGACGTGATGCCTACCAACTACAAATCCACATCCCTGCCCCTACAGTCCTATCACCACCCGCTTTAGGGACTTGCAGACTATAAACAGAAATTAGACAAATAGGGAGTATGCAAGTTTCTGTAAACATAGTTTTTAGTCAGACTCACTGCCACAAACAGAAACAAATGTTATGAATCAATTAAGGCATCCACACAGGCAGAGCTGTGCATTTCACCAGAGTAGAAAACAGAACAGAGAAAATATGTACACAGGTACAGTTAAGTGCTACTCAAGCAGCCTTGTGTGGGCTAGAACAAATCTGGCTCCAGGACTGGCACTGTCTTGCTCCATTACTTACAGGGGGCCGGTGTTGGGCCAGGGGCTTTGCCCGTGTCAGAAAACATCCTGAGGGAAAGCTCTTGGCCATGGCCCAGGTTATTTAGGGTACAAGAATTTACATGAAATAAGGGAAGTAAGGACACAAGAGGTTTGAAGACGACATCCAGGAAGGTGTCAGGGTGTCTCTCCATTGCGGCTTAAGAAGTACCTGACGGGGGGGCCGGGGAGGTCATCGTCTCCGTCCGCCTCTGGAGCGAAGGACACGGTGAGGTCAACGTAGCGGCGGTCCACTGACGGCTTGATCAGCTTCTGCATTCTGAACAGAGGGAGAGGCAGGGTTAAGTGCATCTGTTGATTGGTTTTAAATGATGATGAGTCTTTGTCCAGGAAACCTGCATCGATACAGATACACAAGCTAAAGTCCAGAAAGTCATACAAAGATTATAAAGAGCATCTTCTGAAGCCATATAGAAAGAAAGACTAAGTGACTTTGTCCAGCAGACAGACTTCCTGTAGTTTTCAAAAGATCTGTTTTTCACGGAAACACTTACGTAAGTTTGAGTCTCTTTGAGTGTCCAGGCATCACAGGCACATATAGCATCTTCACACCATGTACGACCATAGTGGGCTCCATTCCATACTTTTCCTGAAATGAAACATCAAAACCCTTGAAAAACACAACGCAGCAGTAAGAGACTTCAGGGGAAATACGATGATGTGGTAACTGCATCTGAAGTAATAATAATAAACAAGTAGGATTAGTTAACAAGTGAATGGTGTCTCACCCTGACTGCATTCATGAACTCAGAGAGAGTGAAGTCCTCATGGCCAAAGATGGTCCAACAGTCCCAAATGGAGAAGTAAATGTTGTCCCTGGGAGAGAAGGCATGCAGCTGTCATTACACTATAACTGTTATAATGATGACATTTGGGGCAATTTAGCTGAGATTTCAATGAATAATAGTCGTGTGGTGAGAAAGACATCTTCAGTGTACGGTCAAAACACACATGCTAGGACAAAACGTTTAAGGATGTATCACTTTTAAGCAGTTTGGGACAGTGAGAGACAGTGTGCGTTTGCCTTTACCTGATGAGTGTCTGTTTCAGTGGGGCAGGCTCAGTGAGCACCATCACAGGGATAGCCAGGTTAAAGAAACAGTTTTTGAAGGACTCAAAATCATAGCCTCCAACCACCTTGATCAACTCGAGGGCCACCTGAATACATCAAAATAATAAAAAGGCAAATATATTGATATAATATTGATATTGAAAAATGTATTTGGTTTCAACAATGAAACCACACTTATCAGCATTTATTTACGTTGACATCATAATACTGTCCATCCATCCATCTCCAACAGGCACAAGGTAGTCAGGACATATATACATATTATATATGTATATCCATATGTACTGTAACCTATATATCCTAGAAATAAGTGTCACATTTTTTTTGTTTTCTTATTTCACAAATTACATTTTTTGTATATAGGTGTTTTAAAACAATGACAGCAACTTAAACCATCACTATGGCAACATTTAAAACATCTCTCACCAGTCCAGCCACAGCAGCTGTTGCTGTGGCGATAGCGGGGATGATCTTGCCAGCGATGCGTTTGGTCTTGAGTCTGTCCGCGGGCTCGATGGCGTACATCCTGGCTCTCAGAGCAGATGCTGAGGTGACAAAGTCAACATGGCCGTTGCGGTCATCGTCCTTTTCAAACAGCAGTGGACTCACCTGTAGCCTCTCTGGAAGCACAGACAGTATCAGCTGTTAGAGGTGGGGTTACAGTGATTGTAATATAGGCATGCAAACGTAAAGGTCACCTATAATGCAAAAAACACGTTTTCATGTCTTTTATACATAAACATGTGTCCCCTCTGTGAAAAGAGATTCTGAAAGTTTCAGAAGAAAAAAAAACCCCTCTCTTTTTGTCCTGATCCATTTACAAAAAATCCTGTCTGTAAAAGAGCTGATCAGATTTTGTCCATTTTATGATGTCATAACGTTTTTTTGGGTTGTGTAACCATTAGCCAATCACCAACCAAGGTAACACCCCCTCCCCACCTTATCACCTGAATCTCCTCCTAGAGCACCATTGTGTGTTTTTTTAACCAAATACCTCGCAGAGTATAATAGGGGACCTTTAATAGAATTGGGAAATAGAGAGCCTGGCTCCTAACTATTCACAACGATGTATAGGATATTACTTAACATCAGTGTCCATTGACAAATATTGGTATTTATTTAATTGTGAACCTGCTGTGACGTTGTCCGTAGCGATGGCCTGCTCCAGCTGTGCGATGGCCTCCCTCTCCTCCTCACTGCTTAGAGGCATCTTCATGGAATCAGGCTTCTTCGCCGACTCATCTGTCTCTATGCACTGGAAGGGACAGAAAACAAAAACACTAGATTAGGATATTTTATGCTCAGACAGAATCAAAAAAACGTATATATGGAGAAGCGTACTTTCTGTGAAGGCATGTACTCGGGAATCTTTACTCCTGAGAGAATCCTGGTCACCGCCTCTTCAGAGATATCCTAAAATAATAATAATGAAAAGTTTAGTCAGTGTGTGTGTGTGTGTGTTGGAGTGAGTAAATGTGTGAGTGTATGCGACCTACCGCTTCTGAGTAAGGGATGTTATAAATCCCTGCGAAGAGCCGGGCAGTGCTGACAATGAAGGTGAAGTGCCTAAGGGGGACGGAGGAGGTTTGGGAAAGCTTAGATAGGAAACATCCAATAAAGGAAAGGCTTAACCTGTAACATTAGAGCATACTCACAAAGAGTCTTTCAAGTCAAAATCAAAAGGTGCTGGAGGTCTTTTTGGGGACTGCCAAAACAGACCTAGGATACAAAAAAATGGTACCGTTTTGATGCAGATACAATTATTTTTGGTAAATTGAATAATACACAATTGTTTGAGAAAAACTTACTTCCATCTTTTAACCTCGTGTCCAGCGGGAAAGAGTGCAACAGTTGTAGGGCCTGCATGAGAACAAAACGAGTAGCATGTAATCACATTCAGGTGATATTGTGTAGCTTCCAACATATATACATAAAGCAAATCAAATGTTTTTTTTTCAATTTTAAGGAGGAGACTCGTTACCTTTCTCTTGAAATACTTTTCAAACTTCAGTCGGGCATTAACGACGCACTGGTCCCACTGGCTGGGCCGTTTGCTCAGCAGTTTAACGACCTGGAAGGCCCCCTCCAGACTTTCTCCCACCTGCATCTTCTACACAAATAAAAACACAAACACAATCTTTTCAAACCAACTATTACATCGCTGGCCAAGATCAACACTAATGTTTCTTATAATAAGTCGGAGAAACACTTATGACAAAAGTCTTACCTGTAGCACCGCGTCAGCCGAGGAGTGGGTCTGCCAAAATGAGTTGTACATGGAGGGCTTGTGGACGAACAAGTTCTCAAACTAGACAAGAGCAAGGGAGACATTTTAAAAATTAGGACAGCACAGTTATAAAAATGATAATCAGCACTTTTTGGGTTTCAAGCAGACTGACCTTGTCTCTGGCCCACTGAATAGTGTGCTCTATGACAGAAGGGAAAGACTTGAGAGTGCAGAATGGGATCTCCTCTTCTGGGGGGTCCCTCTGGGGAGCAAAGGAAAACATACATTTAGGAACATTGTAAAGACTTCACCCACATTTATAGGTTTTCATTTTTATAACTCACAACATATTTTGCTACTCTGAGCATCCACACTACTCTGATATTTTCAAACTCCTAAAAACAGAGACTTTTGAAAATGCTGCTGACATTTTTTGTTTAAAAAGTCCCGGATGATGCTTTAGTCGAGCAGGGCAGAAACCAATAGTTGTAACGATTTCACAAATATCAGGGTACGTTAATGGTCATGTAATATGCGTTTTCAGGTGTGATGGTATGGAAAGAGATTATTCTGAAACTAGGTAGTCAATAGCATACACACTCTCATACACACTCACGTGGCTGTTGTAGGACTCTGTCAAATTTGGCACGATGATTTCAGTGTGTCCTTTAGTTCCCATGGTGCCAGAATCCAGGAGAGGTTTCTGATTGGATAAACAGCGGCTGAAAACACAATCAATGCACAAAACACAATATCAGTTGTTGGCCCAAATAGTAAATATCAACTGAATGATTTAACGAGCATTAATTGTGTCATCTAAATATCTGCACCCACCTGTCTACATATCTCCGAGCCTCCACGTTGTCCAGCGCCGTGACCACCAGGTTCAGACGGGAGTAGAAGACGTCGTTGTAGACGCTCTCAGTAGCAGGACACACCTTGTGGAGATGAGCGTCCACCTGCAGCTCCGGGTTGATCTCTTGAGTGGCTTCTGCTGCCGTGGTACTCTTCGGTTTCTGAGACACAGGGAGACAGAAAAAACAAGTTAATGTCTGTTTGGCAGAGGTGGGAAAAGTAATCAGATATTGTACTTGAGTAAAAGTAGAAGTACCAGAGTGTAGGAATACTCTGTTACAAGTTAAAGTCCTGCATTCAAAATGTTGCTCAAGTAAAAGTACAAAAGTATTGGTCTCTGAATAAACTTAAAGTACTAATAGTAAAAGTACTCATTATGCAGATTGGTCCATTTCAGAATAATATATATGATATGTTTTGATTATAATTACTGATGCATTAATGTGTTTATTAAAGCTGGTAAAGGTGCTGTTAGTTTAAATGACTTTGTATGCTGCAGGGTAGCTTGTGATTGTATTCCAAGTGTAACTAAAGTCTTATTTAAATGTTGATTATATTTCCCATTATTAATCCAAATCTTCAAAGTAACTAAAGGTATTACATAAATGCAGTGGAGTAAAAGTACACAATTTGCCTCTGAATTGTACTGGAGTAGAAGTAAAAGTAGCATAACATTGAAATACTCAAGTCAAGTACAAGTACCTCAAAATTGTACTTAAGTACAGTACTTGAGTAAATCTACTTAGTTACTTCCCACCACTGCTATTTGGTGCATGTGGTTGATTCGGATCGAGTTTCTCCTTCACTCTGACTGTAATTCGATAACTTTAGTATAATTATCTTCCTGTCTGATTCAATATTTCTTTCGATTTGTTTACAGAATACAGCTGCATAGCAGTAGAGACACAATTTCACATATGGCAAAGGTGAGCTGAAGGTGAGTAAATATTGAAATAGACGTTTACCTGTATATGATGTGGTCTGAAGAGAAACTGCCGATTGAGGTTGGACTTTTCTATAAGGTCTGGGTCTGTGATGAACACCTGAGAATTGACAGATAGATTAAAAAGTCTTGCTAATTACATAAAGTTAAAATATTACAATTCATAAAAAACACATTCACACAGAGTAGAGGAAATGCAGAAAGAACACCCACCTCCCCTGAGCTGTTAGCCAATCCCACCCCAAGCAGGGCGAAGTTTTTCAGCATTTCACAGCCAATGGCACCGCAGCCCACCTGGAAGAGACCACAGTGTAGTGTTAGGACATAAACCTTCAAATAAGTCAATATAAAAAGAGATGTTGCATGCACTGCAGAATCCTTACCATGAAGACCCTGAGCTTGTGCAGCTCTACACACATCGATTCACCGATGCAAGCTCGTAATCCATCATACCGATCGCCCCTTGGTAAAAACTCCTCAGCAGAAACAGACTGAAGTGGCCTGACAACCTCGATGGCATCGAGATAAAACTTGAGAGAAACAGAAAGACATGATAAATTACACATAAAAACATTGTGGGAAAATGTTAAAACCCTAAAACTAATGGTTTCATATGCTGTGTTGCAATGGTAGATGGAGCTAATGAATGTATTAGCCCCATTTCACTTGTGTAAAGGTGGCCTACAGTTTACTTGTGGTAACCTACCCACTGCTGCAGGGGTGCAAACTTCCCTGTGATGGCCTTAAGAACTTCTTGGCTGGCTAGACCTCCCACAGCTGCTGCTAACGGAGGAAGAGTTCCCCTCGCTGTTCTCGAGAGACAGCGTACCAACTCAGTATTCACAGGAGCCTGGAACCAAAGAGGAAGAGGGGGGGAAAGAGAAAGAGATGCATGCATTGGGTTGTCAAAGAGGGTTTATGTGCATCTTTGCAGGTTCAATCAAATCAAAGCACGACGGACTGACAAAAGAAAAAAACACTCACTTTGTTCCTGAGAGTTTCATTCACTTCCTCGGTTAGCTTCAGTAAAACCTCAGCATCCTGTAAACACCTGATGGCATAAAGAGAAAAACTGCTCACAACGGGGTCACATTTCAACTTCACACACTGAAATCCAGACATGTGATATCCTTAGGGACGGTTGGAGTACAAAGCAGAAGACACCGTGTCAACAGTGAAAAGCAGGGAAATATTTTGTTTACCCAGTGTTGGGAAGTCTACTGTGCTGCTCCTGAAAGACGTCCAGAGCACACATGGCGGCATGGATCTGTAGTGGGGCCTGATGGGTAGATGTAAAAAGATTGTGAGGAAACAGCTTGGATAAACAAAAAATAAATAAAAAAGGGTTTGGCATCACGTATCAAGGTCAACATTTAGATATATGTCATCACAGAAACATGAACTGTAACAGCCAGAAAAAAAAAAACACCACAATTTAATAATGCATACTGACAAAAAAAATGCTAAATAAGGACACATGCTCTTTGGTTGGAGGTTGTGATGGCTTTTTTTTTCTGAACGCTCACTGATAAGTAGCTAAAAATCAAATTCAAGCTAAGCCTGCTCTGTAGGTAATGTTGCACAATCAATGGTGATCTTGCTGTGTGATGATGAACAGCTTCAAGCGCTCACCTCTGGTTTACTGAAGTCTGGAGTCATGACCTGTGGATCACACAACTGCTTCTCCATCGTCTCCTGAAACACCCAAGTGGACAAATGAAGGGTCACACACACAAAAAGTGTTGATTTAGAAATGTACTTTTTTTTTTTTGACAACTTACAAATCTGAACGTCTTGGGGGCTTTCACCATAACAAAGAAACCCCCATGTGCATATGACTGCAGTTGGGATGTGTCCCCTATTGAAAAACTGTGAGGGGAAAGGACTAATACCACACACACACACATTCAAACAACACACAAACAAGGAGAGACATAAACAAAAGACAGAAATAGTTTTTATTATTATTTTGTACCTTCAAACTAAAATGATTTAACAGAATCTGCACTAGCAATAGTTCAAGAGTACGTTATGAATAGCAGCGCATTTGTTTTCACCTTGTCGATTACAAATATAAACTCAAACCATATTCTAAATATGTTGATCTGTGGTGATAACCATCTTTCAGTTAAAAAAATATATATATATACTGAACTTAATATTGTCAATATAGAATTAATACCTGAAACTGGCCTTGCGGTGCCGTTGAGCTCCACCATGCCGTGGACCTCTCTGAACACAACACTCTGGCCTGTCTGTATGCCGTGGGGTTGGTTGTCCATACAGGTCACCACCCCAGGATTATCCTGAAGGTTCCAAAATAAAAAGGAGATCAAATGTTATTTTGAGCAGGCACCGTCATTTTGGGCTCATATTTCAAAAGATAATTCATGGAACTGCATCTTTATGTTTACGCAAACATCTGTCTCTTCGAACACACAAAGATGGAGCTCATTATCATATTTAATGATACAAAATAAAATAAAGAAGAAGATGGATAGAGTACCTGCGTTATACTATGGATGAAAATCTCCTTGGGCTCCTCTCCTGTGGGATCTGACACCTCAAACTCATCTCCAAAATCACAAAACACCCGCACACAGATGCCGTATGCATCACAGCCGATGAACTGGAAAACATACGGGCAAAAGGTTCATATGTGTGTGTTCCCCATGTGTAAGACATGGTTTAGCTAAAGCTCTGAACTATGGATAACCACTATATGGCTGTAGACTTACTCTGATAGGGGGTTGGTGTGAGTGGCAAAACTCATTGACTCTCTTCTGTAGACTCAATCTGGCTTCGCTGAGAATAACACACTGAAAGAGGAGGCGGAGCAGAAGAAAAGGGTTATTTGCAATCTAAAAAATAAATGACAATGAAAACATTTTTAGGTGGTTTAGTCAATCGACACAAACATAATTGCCCTGTTGTTTTCTTAATGATCATTAACCAAGATGTCCTGCTGTTCTTCATTTTGTATCATATTAAACTAAATATATTTTGGACTAACTAAGCAAGAGGTTATATTTGGACATTTGAGACCTTTTTAAAAAGAAAACACACAAATATTTTAGAAACAAATATCTTACCTGGTACTTTCCAAGGAAGCTGAGATCTGTGTTGTCGTCCAAAGCAGAGGAAGATGTGTCGACATGGACATAAGGGTTCAACTCTGCAACCCGAGGGCACACTGCCTCCACCCTGTGGTAGAGAAGTAAAAGAGATTACATATGAATGTGAGAAGAAATAAATCAACAGGGGAATAGATCGAAGAGTTATCATATGCATGTGGATCCCAGGAAAAGTATGTTCAGTGCCTCCGGAAAGTATTCATACCCCTTCACTTGTTTCACATTTTGTTATGTTACAGCCATATTTTAAAATTGATTACGTTCAATTGTTTTCTCAACATTCTAGACACAATACCCCATAATGACAAAGTGAAAAAAGTTTTTGAATAATTTTTGCAAATGAATAAAAAAAGATCAAATATCACATAAACATAAGTATTCACACCCTTTACTCAAAACGTTGTTGAAGCTCCTTTGGCAGCAATTACAGCCTCAAGTCTTCTTGAGTATGATGCTACACGCTTGGCACACCTATCTTTGGGCAGTTTCTCCCATTCTTCTTTGCAGATTGTCTCAAGCTCCATCAGGTTCTCTCCAGAGATATTCAATCCGGTTCAAGTCTGGGCTCTGGCTGGGCCACTCGAGGACATTCACAGACTTGTCCTGAAACCACTCCTTTGTTATTGTGGCTGTGTGCTTAGGGTCGTTGTCCTGTTGAAAGGTGAACCTTCGACCCAGTCTGAGGTCCAGAGCGCTCTGGATCAAGGATCTTTCTGTACATTGCTGCATTAATCTTTCCCTTGATCCTGACTAGTCTCCCAGTTTCTGCTGCTGAAAAACATCCTCACACCAGGATGCTGCCACCACCATGCTTCCCTGTAGGGATGGTGTTGGCCAGGTCTAGTTTCCTCCAGACATGATGCTTGGCATTCAGGCCAAAGAGATCCATCTTGGTTTCATCAGACCAGACCATTTGTTTTTCTCATGGTCTGAGAGTACTCTAGGTGCTCCATGGGGGCTTTCATGTACCTTTTACCATAAAGCCCTGATTGTTGGAGTGCTGCACAGATGGTTGTCCTTCTGGAAGGTTCTCCAATCTCCACAGAGGAACACTGGAGCTTTGTCAGAGAGACCATCAGGTTCTTGGTCACCTCTCTGACTAAGGTCCTTCTCCCCCGATGTTCAGTTTGGTTTGGGCGGCCAGCTTTAGGAAGAGCCGTGGTGGTTTCAAACATCTTCCATTTGCAAATAATGGAGACCAATGTGCTTTTTGGGACGTTCAATGCTGCAGAAATGTGTCTGTACCCTTCCCCAGAACTGTGCCTTGATACAATCCTGTCTCTGAGGTCTACAGACAATTCGTTGGACCTCATGACTTGGTTTGTGCTCTGATGTGCACTGTCAACTGTGGGACCTTATATAGACAGGTGTGTTCCTTTCAAAGTCATGTCAAATCTATTTAATTTACCACAGATCCAATCAAGTTATAGAAACATTTTAAGGATGATCAGTGGAAACGGGATGCACTTGAGCTCAATTGTCAGTGTCATAGCAAAGGCTGTGTATACTTATGTACATGTGATATTTCATTTGATTATTTTTAACATGTTTACAAAAAATTCTTAAAAAACGTTTTCACTTTGTCATTACGGGGTGTTGTGTCTAGAATGTTGAGAAAACAAATTCATTTAATCAATTTTGAAATATGGCTGTAATATAACAAAATGTGGAAAAGGTGAAGGGGTATGAATACTTTCTGGAGGCACCGTACATGCTATATGAGATTGTGAGTAAAGTGAGAGGTTAAGATTAAGAATCCAGCGTTGTGTAGTACCTTCTCCTCTGGCTCAAAACATCCTCTTTGCGGATAAAGAAGTTGGAGCCCAGATCCACGGTTTCACACTGCTTTGTGTCATGAAGGGTGACTGCCTGTGCACAAAATAAATAAAAAAGATAATGCCACAAGAAAAAAATAAAATTTCTTAAGATGCTACATATTGAAAAAATGATATAGTGTTGCTAATGTAGCAATATTGGACAACCATAATGGTGAACGAGATCGCATACCTTCACACCAGCCAGGACAATATTCTTTGCTGTGAAACCAAAAGGGAAGTTGCTTAGTGTCAAACCACAATTGGCGATGTAGTTAATGTGAATACTTTGGCATTGAATATCTTTACAGTGCTGTTGTGCAATATGTTATCATTTAGCATACCTATCTCAATCCCCAGTCCACCCATTCCACTGAGAAAGACGGAGGACTGGGCCATCTGGTGCATAGCACTGTCTCCCAGCACATAGCGCTGGCGGCTGGACGGAGAGAAGGAAGGAAGAGGAAGTGTGAGGACAAGTGATAAGAGAGACCAAGAGGAGCAATTCAAAATAGCCCTTTTCTAACTTTAAAATGCTTTTTAGGAACATTCTCACTTGCTGATCATTGAATTGATTAATGATTGCATTGTTTTATATGTAACCTGTGTTGTGTTTAAATACATGATACAATGTATTCCTAAACATGTCTCTACAGTAGAGGTATAAAAAGTATTATTATTAAGTGCAAGTCATTTATTTTCCAATGGAAATTCATGAGAGGTACCAGGTAGCCTATATTATGCATCGTTTAAGGGAACCTGACCTTGGTTGAAACAAAACTGAAAACCTCTGGCATAAAGCAATGCCAGATATTCCTTGTCTTGAAAAATCTGTATCCGAAGTGTAAGGGGTTTAGTAAGGGAAATAATGTAAATAGACTTACCTGTAAAGAGAGTCGTCAATCTCCATCGAGTCTGCAGCCATACTGGAAGGGGAAGAGGGGGGAATTCAACTGTCTGAGATAAAAACTCCACCTTATACAAATATAAAAGTACAAACCGTGATTATTAAAGATATAAAACGTTTTGGTGGTTATCGTTTTTAATCTAAAACCAACGCCCTGTTGTGGGTTAGCTAACTGGCTACATTACCCTCAATGTGGCTAACTGTCAGCAATGTGGTTGACTTGACAACTGTCAAAAGGTTAAGTGTCTGTCTTGATCCAATAAAGTGAGGGATGCTAACAATCACATACCACAACAGTAAGCTACCGTAATACAAACGCTGGCTGATGTGTGAAGCTGCTGAGTAGAGCTCAGTGTTAGCAGCTACAGCTAGCTAGCTCTGAGTGCCACTGCTGCCTGGAGCCGGTAGCGAAGACACTTATCTTAAACTCGTTAAAAGTGATGACACATACGTTAGGCTACGAATACATCCGCAGGGTAGACAGATATGTCAAGTGTTTCTATTCTACAAATTTATATAAAAAATGCGTTTTGAATATTGTCACAAATTAAACCAATTATTAGACGTAGCTACCTGTCAGTATGCGCGACAAGCTAGGGCGAATGAATGGTTGTGACTGGTTAAAAAACTTGGAGTGGTTCCGGGTTACCGTAAGCACATGACCAAGGCCATCCAATAGGTTCACAGTGTTTTTCAGGACTACATTTGTTATTGAAATATCCCCTATTTTGGAAGGATAAGCACCATAAAAACCACCTAAATGTCAATTTAAAAGACTTTTCTATATAATTATTTTTATAAATATACCATTTGTGAAATATTAAATATGGATTTTTGCATTTTCAAAACTCAATAAATCAGCAAGTCAACACTGGATTTTCATAATAATGTGACATTTTGTCAATGTTCCAAATTTTTGCCAATTTTTTCTTCTTAAAACGTTTGTTGTTACTAAACTTTATCTTCCGTACAAAATTGTGTATAAGTTTGTATGCATTGTATGATATTACTACATGACAATTAAAACTGTTTGAAAATACATCAGCAGGAAAACTACTTCTCACATGTTCGATCATTAGCTCCAAACAATATTACCCAGTTGTTAATCTGTCTCTCTTTTTTATGATGATACAGACAAAGACCTCTTCTCATCTTATTTGGACAATATTATTTTGTATATTATTCACAAAACTCCTTGGTCAGCAATCAAACCATTATTTATTTGTAATGTATTAATTCATAAATGTATTTATGTATTTTAATGAAAGTCAGCTCCAATTGAAAAGTAAAGACAAAATGCAAAATATATTTCAGCCAGAGACAGAACTAAAATAACAACGTTTGGTCCTTTACTGTTCAAAGAAACAAAGGTCAGCAGCAGAGTGAACCATTTACATCCTACTGTCTCCCATTCGTGGGGATGATTTCAAGAAACAACCCTATGCTGTTCGGGATCTACTGTCTTTGTAAATGTGTGTGTGGTGGGTGAGATCAAGAGGAACATTTCTATTTATAAATCTGTGTTTTAAATTCTGTTATGCCTGAAGTGAAATGACCTATTTACACTTAAACCAGACTCAGCTCAAATATTTGACTCAGTGATTTTGTGTTTGGTTTGTGACAGACAGTATTTTTCAACTTCAGAATTTAGAGACACACTCCCTCTTATCATATTGGTTGAATACACAGACAGGAACCTCCCCCTGAACTAGAGCCAAATGATACACAACAGGCTCTGCTCTCCAAAGCACCACTGTCATCTCTCAGACACCTGCCCACAGATTCACTCTCATCTTGCAATGTGGTGCAGTCGTATGGCACTGCGTCGGCTCCAGCAGGTTGCTGTTACTCCTTTGAATATGGCTGGAGGTCTAACAAGCAAGGTGCAGAGGGAGATGTCAACCCTGCCACGGGTGTATATCACCCGACAGATCCCACCCGAGGGCCTGAAGATCCTCCGTGAATCTGGACAGTGAGTACTGGTGACCTGTTAACCACTTTAAATCAATGTTTTTATTATAGAATATTCTATATGACAAAGTAATTGTGTATTGTAGCTGATTTGACTGTGATACTTGCTAATGTTCTGCTTTGTAAAGTTCATCATTTACTTTGAGTAAACAGGACTGCTAATGTTTGACCTAAGGTTAGTCAGATAAGACTGGTAGCCTGAAGGGTATTCCCCTGCAGCAGAGTTAAAGAAATGTGCCTCTATCATTTACAGTATATGTGATATAGCTTGAGAACTGTAACTGAAGCTTCAGCAACTAATTACTTTTTGCACCAGCAACAAAAAAACATTCATTTGATTTGTATAATCAGTCATGGTTTCTGTTTTCCTAGGGTGCAGTTTGAGCTGTGGGACTCCGATGATGTCCCCGTGCCCAGGAAGGAGCTGCTGCAGAAGGTCAAAGGTGTCGCTGGTCTGGTCTGCGTGCTGACGGAGAAGATCGATACCGAGTTGTTGGATGCTGCAGGTCTGAGGAAAGTCTGAACACAATTAGCATATTTACATGTGTTTATGTGTGTAAATGATTGATGTGCTCTTGCAGGTCCAAACCTGAAGGTTCTCAGTACTATGTCAGTGGGTTTTGACCATCTCTCCTTGGAGGAGCTGAAAAAAAGGTGATTCTTCTCCGTTTAAAAAAATCTTAAGGCTGCATTTGACAATACTACTGGTTAGTGCAATTATTGGTACATGTGTTTGGGAAGTAGTGAGCATAGGTCAGGATAAATAAGACCTGTGTAAAATCTAGATGTGTTTGAGTGTATGTAAATTGATGTTCTGACATAGTAGATGGAGACTACATTAAGTTTAATTCAATTTCTCGATTTCAAGGTTACACTAATGAAAAAAACACTAACAAACTTGTGTCTGCCAACCCTTTGTGACATACGTGTATAAAATTGTGTGTCGTTTGTGTGTTTTGCCCTTTCCCCAGAGGGATCCGTGTGGGTTACACCCCTGATGTTCTGACAGACTCAGTGGCTGAGCTGACGGTTGCTCTGCTGCTCACCACCTCCAGGAGGCTCGTCGAGGCCACCCATGAAGCCAAAACGTAATGTTGCCTACTCACACACCCCAAATGTATCCATGTATACATCAACAACAGTTTTTCAAGGGTCAGAGGTCAAAGTCTCTCTCTCTCTTGTGTCAGTGGTGGCTGGGGCACATGGAGAACTCTGTGGCTGTGTGGACACGAGCTGGCCGGCAGCACTGTGGGTATCCTGGGTCTGGGGAGGATTGGTGAGCATGCAGTATATAAAACACCACACACAACATGCCCATCATTTTGTCATCAAACCCACATTATGCATAAATGTCGTTTGTGCTCTAAGGTGTGGCTATCGCCGAGCGTCTGGCGCCTTTCAAAGTAAAGAAATTCATCTACGCAGACGTGGCCCCTAGGCCTGAGTTGGCCAGTGTCATCAATGCAGAATATGGTAAGCATTATAGATTTGTGGATACTAAAATATCCTATGCCAGCATGTTATTTTGCTAAAAACAATGCACAATAGAAACACTGTCAACAAGTTGGATTGTGAAGGCTTTAATAGCATTCTATTATGCTGGCTAGTCTAAGAGACCTCTCACATGCTGATCTCAGAAATACTCATGCCTGTCTTTTGTAATTCATGAAATTAGACATTCAGGATTTTATTCTAATGACATCAATGGTACTTTCCCTGGGTCTAGTCTCTTTTGACGAGCTGGCCAAGCAGTCAGATTTCCTGTCTGTGTGCTGTGCTTTAACGCCGGAAACGAAGGAGATCTGCAACAAAGACCTCTTCTCCAAGATGAAAAACACCTCCATCTTTATCAACACAAGCAGGTACCCTTATCCTTCTTGAGAACATATAGTAACCTATATAACCTTATTTAGATGACATTCATCATTATTTTTAAGGTTCATCTTGTGTTTCTCTCTGTTAGACTTTGAAAAAAGACTGTGCTAATGTAACGACCAACATACTGGATCCGTTTTTCTTCTTAATCTGACCAAGAGTACAGTCTCTTTGCTTTCCCTGTCTTTCTATAAACGTGGTTTCTATGTTGTGTCAGAGGGGGTGTGGTGAACCAGGAAGACCTGTATGAGGCTCTGTCCACTGGGCAGATAGCAGGAGCGGGGTTAGATGTTACTGTTCCTGAGCCCCTGCCCACCAGCCACCCACTGTTCACCCTCAAAAACTGTGGTAAGTCTCTCAGACTTATTAGTGCTTTAACTGCCTTAAAAATTGTTTGTTTTTTTCAAGTGTCACTATTTTGGTTGGTTTTCAAGTGACACTATCTTTGCCAACTTATCACCACCACCACATTCTGACTTTCTATCATTTGTTTTCTTTCTCTCCTCCCACAGTGATTCTCCCACATATTGCTAGTGCCTCTTATGCGACCCGTAACAACATGTCCGCCCTGGCAGCGAACAACCTCCTGCTGGGTCTGCGGGGCGAGCCAATGATCAAAGAACTCAAACTGTGATAGGAACTAAGTCCGCTCGAGCTACTTGACCATCAGTTGAACTCATGTGCTTAATTATTTTTTAGGACAAACGAAAAACTATAACTTTGTGATTGTATGCTTCTTTATTTGCTTCTGTTTAAATCTTCAGTCAACTGAACATGTAATGTTATATTAAAGACTATCTTACTCCTTTGTGCTGTCAGCTTGTACTTGTAAAAATGTCAACTGCAACAAAACGGAATTTCATTGTTTTTTTATTCAGTCTATACAACAACTGAACATACTGTACATTCTTCATAGCGTTCAACAGTAAAGAGACAAACATTTAATCCTCTCATGAAAAAAACACAGAAATACATCAGATTTGGCATATCAACAAAAGCCCAGCTTTTCAAGCTAGAGGGCATAAGGCAGTGACGTTCATTAACAATTTAGGCCTTTTATGTATTTTAACATTTTGGCTTTTTAATACAGTAGTCCCTTTTACTGTTTATGCAGCAGCTAAAGAAGACAGCACCACAATAACCCTTAACTGGCAACTGTGTTACGACTCACAGCACATTCCTCCTTACAGAATGCAGGAGTGAATACAGATAAAAAGACAAGAGGTTTAACCTTCAGGGATTCTTTTGAATTCTGTTTCCAAGCTACAAGGACTTTGCTATTTGTTTCATGTCAACATGTAGAGGGTGAATGGTAGGTCAGCTTGTGTTTACAGTGTGAAACATAATTTAAGGCAATTCATCTTTGAAGTGAAATGTCAAGGTGATCTCATGAATGTCAAATAGAATTGTCATGTTGTACGGGCTAACAGTGTATTGACTCTACAGTAAGATAAGATGCTGACTAGCTAATTAAGCAATTAAAGTGTAGGTGACACACATACATCACCTACACTCTACACATACAGCTCTACACATACAGCAAGCAAAATAAATCTAAAAAAAAGGCCAATGGATTTTATAATTTATGAGCTACACATTTAGATTACTTTCAGCATCTATGTACTCTTTTTCAATCTCACACCAAACCATCATTTATTAAGTTGACATTAAAATACAGCAACATACAAAAAAAAAAGCTATACCTCCCGAAATGAACAGATTACCATTTAAAGTTAATTTCTGAACTTTGCATTTCATATCCTAACGCTAGTATAAAGAGGAACACGCCGAGTCGGACAGTCTCCATACAGCTCCGTTTTCACATAAATACACATTCAAGTTAACATATTAGTTTTAAGAAAATAATGAATTGTCCAAGTGCTTTTGTACAGATGCAACATTAGATGTAAAAAGACACATGTACAGAGCACGTATATAGTACAGTAGCAAACTTAAACACAATATTGAAATCTTCAGACATTTCTTGTCTCCCCTTAAGAGGAAAATGATGAAACCCATTCAAAGTGCAATATTTACATTTCTAAAGCCCTTTCAGCACGTGGTGGACCTCAGCAAACTGTTAACAGTTTTCATCAGACGGATCTGCCTCTCAGCACTACTTCATTACCCTTTTTAATAAACACACATACTGCAAACACAAAACAACAGCGTCCATGGAACCTTGTCTGATGTGAGGACGGTCAGTAAACTGACCACAGCCAGAACTTTTGTGGTCATTCCCACTCAGTGAATGCCAGATTTTAAGCCATTTAAAATGTCGACAAAAGTGCAACTCCTGCACATCATAACACAAAATAAGGTGCAAAGACGAGTATGCCAAGATGGTGAGTGGACATCTCACTTCCTCATTGTTCCTCAAAAAGAAAAAATGCAATGTTGCTGAGCGAAAATTGGTTTAACAGAGCAATTCAATTATTTCCATTCTGCCAAAACTCAGACTTATTTGGAAGCTGACATATTCTCAACTTTAACTGAGCTCAGCCAGACTTATGATGATTGTGATTCAAAGGCGCTTGGACTGAAAGGCCACTAAAGAGGTCAAACCGTTGGCACAATATAGTGGTGGTTGAGTATGCACAAACATAATTTCTCAGCTATTGATAAACTGTTCTTTTGGGTTTCTACCGTCCTGATCGATAATGTCAATCACATAAAATCTCAATTTCTTGGACCACTGTGTCGGATTTAAAGGCATCTAATGTTGAGTTTGCAAACCATTACGACTTTGTGTTGCTTCTGTGAGGGGTTCACTCTCCTTGCTTGGATGTGTACTAATTAACAAGTAACATCGTCCATTTGGTCAAAAATTAGGTTCCCAATAATCTCAGAATACAATATGGTTAGACAGCACCTGCAACCACTCAGCCTACTCTTTGTTTTCCAACTAGTGCGTTTGCATCATCTGATTCAAGGTGCCACTTCAGCGTGAAACAAAACGGGTACTCTCTCCAAACCAACTTTGGTTTGACCGTTCTTAGCGTTTCTACTAACATGGCAGTGCAACATGGTGAATTCAGTCAAAGAGACCGGCTCCTAATGTAGATACGATTCTTAGTTCAGGGGATAATACACTAATCAAAACATAAATATAAAAGTCATGGGCTGCATGTACTGACACTCCTCAGGAAACACTGATGATTACAGGGGAGTATATTCTTCATCTATGTTTTCTATGAGGCAATCACGGCGATAAATGTTGACCCTTTGCATCTCCCTCTTATCTTTCTACAGTCTATAAGTGTTTACAAGAACTTGAACGTAATGTGGGTTTCTCCTTTCTTGCAGTCAGAAAAATCTCAACATTATGGAGTCTTAAAAGTTGGCCAATTATAGATTCCAAATGTATTTAATCCTATCGCCTGGCTCCGATTGAATGCAGTGTCCTCAGCCCTACAGCAGGCCATTGGACATGTTACTGTTCTGCCAGCGCAGACAGGTGGTCTTGCAGTGCTTGTATAGATGGGAGGACTGGCTGAAGCGCTTCCCACACTTGAGACATGCGTAGGGTTTCTCTCCTGTGTGCACACGGATGTGTTTCTTGCAGTCTGTCAGGGTGAGGAAGGTTTTGCAGCAGATCTTACAGGCGTATTTCCGCGCTCCCTCGACCACCAACACGTTATGCTCCGACAGAGCCTTCTTGCACTTGGACAGGACGTCTGCTGAAGCTCGGGTTAGCTGAGGGAGGAGGGAGGTGGGTCTGCCATTATTCATCTCATATCCCCCGCCCTCATTTAAAAGCAGAGGACTTGCCAGGCTGGAGGAGGAAGAGGCAGCATCCTGGAGAACACCACCTTCTTCTCCTCCCATACTGCTGGACATTTTCGGAGCGATGCGTCTGTAACCTGGATAATTAAGCGCAGTGGTACAAGCCCCCCCCGCTCCTCGGGACGGTCGCCCCAGGGAGTGTAGCCCAAGACTAGAGCGCTGGAAGTCCAGGCCAAACGGATCCACCCCTCCCAGCCCCCCACCGGCACTTCCTCTGGGGTTCCCTAACCCATCATGCAGGGGACGGAGGAACAGAGAATCTGCTTGGAGGTTGTCTCCAAAACCGTTGCGACTTTCGCCCCCGAGTGGACCGCCCTTCAGAAGGGAGGAAGAGGCGGAGCTAGATGGCCCAGCTGCATCCTGTCTGAGCAGGAAGTGATGTGCTACTGCATCGCCAGTAGTTGTGTTGGGGAGGCCATCCTCTCTAGAAACCAACCCCGACCCGACACTTCCAAAAACTTTAGGGCTGAGGAAGCTAGAAATACTAAAACCAGTTTTTCCACCCAGTCCACTACTACACCCAAAATCTCCTCCCACTCCACTGCCCCCTCCCATGCTGCTCTTGAGGAGCAGAGAGTCGGAGCTGGTGAGGGGTTCAGAGGTGAAGCTGCGGTCGCTGCTCTCTGGGCTCAGCTCCGCCTTCTCCTCCTGGCCGCCGGGCTCAGCCTGGGACGGCACGTCGCTAGTTTCATCAGTCGGCTCGGGCGAACTTAGCGGTTCCTGTTTAACCACCACCTGTGTGAAGCAAAAGAAGAGTTTCCTCACAGGCCAAAGCAGAGTGACATATTTTAGACAGCAGCCGAACTAGAGTAGCATGATTTCTTTATACATATGTAAAACGTCTGTTCGAGTGATTTAAGAAAGCTTTTCACTTTCAGCGTAGACTAAATATTTAATTGAAAAGAGTCTCTGTGTAAGTTTGTCCTTTGATTTTCCTTGAGAACCAGTCATCTAATCTACTTGACACTGCTGTATTAATATTATAGTATAGCTGCAGACACTTTTTTATATTCCAACTTGTTTTGGGTTCCCCTGTAAGACCAATGACACTCTCTGTTGATTTCAAATAGCATAACCTTGAGATATGCAATGTCAAATTCTTCTTTTTACTCCTGGGTAGTATGCATCCTTATATATAGAAATGTATATATTTTATATCAAAAATATGCTCCACTTTTTATTTATGTCTTGAACATTACACTGTTGAGGAACCTGCGATTCATACATTGGATAATTACAGCGTAGTTGTGTATATGTTGTTTTTTGTATCAACAAAAAATATAAATATAATGTTGTTGTATTAGGCCTAATAAGAATAACTTACTTTGTCACAACAACTGCAAATCAAGTCAACACTGACCTTCTGTTCCCGTTCTTCCTCGGTCCCTGATTTGATCTTCACCCCTGCTCTGTTGACCTGGTGCTCCTGCTCTTCCATGTCCTCCTCCTTCCTCACCCCTCCCTGCATTTTCCCCAAGTCCTCCCCCTCACAATTTCCACTGTCCGACTGGCTGGGCATTTGTGGATCATCTTGGGACACCCCTACTAGCCCGGTCATTGCCCCATCCAATTTGGATTCATCCCCCATTTTGTGGGAGTCCGGGGAGAGAAGCCCTCCTTCTTCTCGCTCTGCGTTCATCCCTTCTTCTCCTAACATCCCCAGGTTAGGCCCAGAGGGACGCTGCCTCTGCCTGGGCCTCTCCTCTGACAGGCCCAGGGCCATGGGGGGCTTGCGTTTGTGGAAGCGTCGGATAGGGAAGGAGGCCCTCTGTTCGCCCACTCTATTGCCAACTCCATTTCCAACTCCATTTCCAACTCTGTCCTCCTCCATCCCACCCAAAGCAGAGCTTACTAAGCTCAGCCCAAGCTGCTGCAGGAGGAAAGAGCGCTGCAACTTTGACGTGGCAGCGTTTGCGAGGTTAGCATTAGCTGCTAAATCTGCTACCTGCTGCTGCTGCTGCTGCTGCTGCTGCTGCCTGTGCCTCTGCTGCTCCTGCTGAGGGTGGTGATGGGCGGTTCTGTCGGGTGTGGGGGACATGGGAAGGGTACGTGTGGTCAGGTAGTGTTTGCAGGCCTTTACTACATTGTTGAGGTGCAGATGTGAGGCTGCAAGCAGGATATCCATGACGTTACTCTCCCCCAACATCAGCGTTGAGGTGTACATCATGTCCACCAGAGCAGCGAAAGCTTCAGCTGTAACCACCTGCAAGTATACAGGAAGTTACTTCAAAACAGTGGCAGAAACAAAGTTTGGAGTCGGACTATCCTTGTTTTTATCATTTGAAGCTCATCAATTCCCATTATGGATTAGAATAACCCTCCATTCTCAAGAGTACAAACAGAAATGTAATGAATGCCTTCTTTAACACAATGTCATTAAGATTCTCACCTCGCTGTCCAGCTGGATCATGTTCATGCTTGCATCTCCCTCTGCCACTGTAAACAGGGCTCTGAAGTGGGTGCTGCAGGCTGCCAGCACAGAGCGGTGGGCCTTAAAGTGTCTGCTGCCCACCACGATGACACAGTCGCACAGCTGACCGTGGACACGCTGATAGTTGAGCTGCTGGAAGATCTGATCAAAGTGACCTGGGAAATCCATGGCCCTAAAGACAGAGGCAGGTGAGGTTGAATATAGAGGAACAGGGAGAGGCAAATCATGTCACTTGATTTGCAACATTCGTCGATCAACATAACAATAACAGCAGTTTATCGAAATTACTTAAATCTTTAGTCGACAAAAGAAATGCGAAAACAATTGCTGCTAAATCCTCAAATGTGTAGTTAAGTGATCACAAAAAAAATCACATTTGAAAAATCTGAGCTTTTTCCCCTCCTTATTCTCAGTTATTTTAGGACCTAATGATCTCTGATTATTTGGGTTACTATCCACAAAATGAACTGATAATGAAAATGGGTTGTAGCTTTAGGGAGTGTTTATGATATAGTGGCCGGGTATCTACAGGATGGAGGGAACTAAAGTTGGGGCCAGATTTTGCCAGCTGTATTTGAGGAAGTGATGATAAAGTGTTTAGCAAAAAAAAAAAGAAGTCGTTATTCGGTGGTCTTTACAGATATAGAGGGCCTACAGCTATTCCAATAATGATGTTAATTAACGTGCACTGAGGGCAATGTTTAACAGTGAACAGTTAAAAATCCTTGCAGTTAATCAAAATGCTGTAAAATAACTTAGTAATAGCTAGTGTTGATGTTTACGGGTGCTTATGGTGTGAGGTTAAAGTGATACACACAATGACAACACAGCAGCTAACTTTACAGAGCATAGCTTCAGAGTGTAAATAGTAGTGTAATTAGCTTACGTTGGTTAAAGTTACTAGCTACACTAGCATATCATTAGCTACTGTTGTGACGGCGAGCTAAGACAGACATGGAAGTTAACTAACATTACCTTGAATTTCCCGATGCGTAGGAACCGTTAACAAGAAGCCGAAACAAGAGGCCCTGGCGAGGAAACACACAAGGCTAAAGTTAGCTGGCAGCTGACCAGCAAATTGCCTGCTAGCTACAACAGAAGCAGTAGCGTACGGTCACCAGGCTGGACCGCTTGTCTGTATCGAAGCAGCTTTTCTCCATCAAAAACCGTTAGCTGGGAGGCATTTCTGCTGCTACATCCCACCTCCCCTGCGGGGTCAGTTTCCTCGCTTTGAATGGTTTAGCGGAGGCGAAAGCAGCCAGTGGTGTGCGCTCTCTCTCTCTGACCGTGGGTCTCGTGCAGCTGGACCTGGCTGTCAGTGTCATCCACCGAGCGAAAGTCAGGTAATAACACAGCCGGTAATGAGAAACATACTGACTTGTCAATCACTATCAGGGTCCCACATGCTTGTTATATTTTTTTAATAATGTAATGCACTCAGACTGATTTTTCTATCCAGACTCACAGGGTGGCGCTGTACTGCCTATGACCTCGCCGAGGTAAAGAGCTGCCACAAGATGTCGCTGTTGCAGCGTCGCAACCTGCGTGTTCAAAGATCATATATGTGTCAAGATGGTCAATCTTTTACCCTATGATTTAAAAACATCTGCCAATTGTCTCCTAATCTATGTGGTTCAGTAGGGCTGGAAGAAGTACTGAGATGTTTTTCTGACGTAAAAGTTGCAATTCAACAGTCAAGTGTTGTGTTAAGTAAGACAGTAGGTCCAATTACTTAAGTACTAATAATGCACAATACTGTATATGATGTCATTTAAAATAAAAATAATTGACCTAATTAATTATGTTCATAACTTCAATGTTGCTTCTGGTAAAAGTGGGTATTGTTTTTTTAGTTTAACTACAAATACTTTGGGCTGAACGAGGTTCTTGGTGAACACGGAAGTAAACAGGAGTGAAACATCTTGCGTCAAACACATGATAACAACTATGGCTGCCTCCTGCTCGTTGGTGTGTTGTGAAGAGGAGAGAGACTCCGACAAAGCTGTTATTGGTGACTGTCCGATATTTGTTGGTTGTTGAATCGAGTTTGAAGAATATTCTAGTTGTAACCCTGCCACTAAATGCTGGGTTGTTCTTATCGTCTCTATTTTAAACACGCGTTTATATTGCACACGTGGGTGCTAGCACCAGAGCTAGTTGTTAAAGAATAGTGTTGTGTTTGCTAGAGTGACTGCAAATGCGTGCAAAAGTAACATTTCACTGTAGTAACCACAGTAAAAATAAATCAAATCTTTATGAACTACTTTTATCTTGTCAGTTGCTGTTTGCATTAATGATCATCCCAAATGTGTTATGGTCCTATGAAACCCATGTCTTGACAAGGTCCTCGTTGTGTTTTTCCTTCTCATAGTTCGCTTTTCAAACGGCAACGTCCAAAATGCAGAAAAACTGGGTTTCACGATGTATAAGAACGCAGATGAGACTAACCCCAGGAAAAAGAGCAGGCGGATAATGGTAAGAAAGATGAACTCTCTCAACCTTATTGATGTTTTCGTTTACTTTGTGCTACTTAAAGTACTCTAATGACTGTTGCCTTTTTTCCTCTCTAGGCTGCTGAATCAGACAGACTGTCCTATGTTGGAAATAACTTTGGAGCAGGGTCTTTGAAATGCAACAACCTTTGCAAGTATGTAAATGTCATTTATTGTGTCACATTGGCAAGTGTGAAGACAACTATAAAGTGTGATGCTTGGGTGTTTTTTCAGATATTATGTAGGAGTGTTAAACAAGGAGACCATGCACATGGAGGTGCACTGTGCTGAGCTCTTCAACATGCAACCTGTTATACCAGGAGAGATTGAAGAGTCTGCAAAAACCCAGGACCCTACTCAGACCTACAGAGATAAGGTACAACGATTTGTATAATAGAAGACTTAGCTCAGATAAGAATGAACTCTATGTAATAATCTTATCTTTAATTTCTCTCAAGGTTGACTCTTTAATAGAGGCGTTTGGCACCAACAAACAGAAGAGAGCGCTGAGCTCCCGCAGGCTCAATCAGGTGGGCAGTGATACTCTGCAGCAAGCTGTGGCCAAGGCTGCTAACACTGTGATCGACCAAAAGGGTCTGGAAGGTAAGCTACATTGCCTCATGAATATAGAAGTCAGTAGTATGACCAAATCATAAACTAGTCATTTGATCATGAAAATATCTCAAAGAGATGTTGGTTAATTCCGAAAAGAAGCTTTGTTAACCCTAATGATCTAGTTGCTTGAGTAGTCTTCTGTTCCTGTGTGAATAATATCATCATTTTTTCGTCTCCACCCAGCTCTCCAACAGGAAGTGGCTGAGACAGAGGCCCAAGGAGAACTGGCTTTCCACCTGCCTCCTTGCAATGCAGGCGCTGACAGACCTGAGGACGTTTACCTATTTGATGATTGTATCCTTTATTCTGTGTCAACAAGTGAATGCATTAATTGTAGATGGTAGAACAGATCATATATTTGGAGGTACAAGCTGTAGCTGAGTTTGTTTGTTTGTTTGTTTGTTTGGGTCATCCTTAATTGATTTCCACAGTCCTGAGTCCAGTAGAGTTTGCATCTTTGGGGCAGGCTGGAACCAAGATGGCATCACTTACCCCTGAGGAGCTGAAGAAGATGAGAGATGATGGAGGGTAGGGGGACAAAGAGCTCACGCTTGATTACTTTCTTTTTGAAGTTTAATGTTGTTTTCTTCTACTAACTTTTGTTTGAACTTTCACTTTTGATTTAAGGTGCTTGTCTGTTGTGAAGCACCTGGAGAACCTGCCATCTGTTGGTGAAGCCAGAGATAAAATATCTCGATGTGCCTTTTACCTTTCTTTGCTCCTCAATCTGGCACGGCAGCGGAGCATCACCCGCAAGTGTGAGTTCGATTTTTGCCTTTTTTCAGAGTTAAAAGTGATCCTGTGCATGTCTATGGTTCACAAACTAATTGTTACTTCTGTTTACGTATACAGTCGGGCAGGAGGAAGGCTGTCCTCGCAACATTCAGAGCAAACTGTTTAAAACATTCACTGTGGAGAGTTTTAACAATGGCAGGTAGGATGGAACTTATGTCATGTTTTATATCTGCAAGGACTGATTTTTCTCTCTTGATGCACCATTTTAAACCAAGATGTCACTTAGACCATTCTTGTTGCACTGATTTTATTGAAAAAAATAAAAAAATCTCAAGATTTCACTTTTTCAACCTTTATCATTCTTTTAGGGTCCAGAACGTTGTGTCATCATCAATGCGTTCCAAACTAGCAGCTTACTCCCTGGCCCTGCTGCTGCACATGAGTCACATGACCTGTGACATCACATTACTCCACCGTGACCTGGCAATCACCGAGGCCAGGTAAGGGGGGAAAAAAGGGAATAGCCTGTATTTGTATAAGAAACTGCATAATAAGAAAATGTGTTTTACTTTGTATGTGTAACTCCTTGTGATACAATGTGTAAGACCAGTGCATTCAATCAAATATTAATATAACTTAATGTTAATGTTTGTTTAATAACTGCCCGTATGAGGGGCATAACCAGAACTCTGCAAGTATAATGGTAACGGGTGTTTTTGTGTTTTCTTATAGGATGATTGACGTAGCAAAGTCAATGGGACTGACTCTAATTAAGTTGCCCCGGGTGAAGGCTGAGGAGGATGGGGTGCGAGACACAAACAGGCAGGCTGCTCTTGTTCTCCCTCTGGTGAAATATGAGCAGTTCATGGAGAGACCGAAACGCAAGAAATTTCACTAAAGATCAAGAACACTTTGAAAGAGAGGGAGGACAATAATAATTGGAAATGTCACAAACAATAACTGTTTATTTTGTAGACAAATAAAGTGGTGACCTCTTGAGTTGTACATGATATCTTTACTTATTGCTTACTGTGCAAGATACAAAAAAGCAGAGGAATGAGCTGTAAACAAATTCTAGATGACAGAAAACATCTAGCGTAGACAGTAAAAACATGTAGGCACAATTTTAGACAGCACATATTGCACACTGTTGATCATTTGTCCTTCTAAAACTGCCTTTTACCAGGCAAGTCTGTGTGGTTGTGTCACTGTGCAGCGTGTCAATGGTATCTAGAGGGAAAACGGGTCCCGTCTCAGTGAATTCTATCAAGTCAAAAAAAGCTGATCACATTTGAAAAACATTGATGATATGATACAAAAACACAGACTCACCAGGAAACAGCCATGTGCAAGAGTCAGAAGCTTGAGTTTGGCTTTGTTTTTTCATCTTTGCATAAACACTCACACTATGACAACTCATTACCTAGCTACAATCGTTGATTGAATACAAAGTCAAACAAGGCACAGCTTTACTTTGCAGCATGGTTGAAGCTGGCATCTCTGAAACCTTTGACTACTGCTAGGATTTATAAAAATGTGCACTTCCCAAACAGTGATTCTCAGAAGCAAACGGACAAAGTCTACAGCAGGTCTGCACATGAATATCAATGTTAAAGAACATAATTAAGTTAAAGCTTTGAAGATGATAATGCCTGAATGTGTGTTACTGCAACTTCATTTCAAGAGTACATGTGATGATGTATCAATGATAAATGCTCAAACATGATCATTAAGTTATACAAATCTTCTTTCAGATTTACAAAATGTGGTGACACCTCAGCGTACTGGAAGGGGGATTGCCCCTTAAGTGGTTATACTCGGAACATCTTTACTAGACCTCAACAAGAGGGCGTCTTTTTGAAAATGTCTTCTCTGAGGAGGCTTCAAATGTACAACAAACACAAGTCCATATTGGTTTCTAAGTGCTTTCACAGGATGGAGCAGAACATGCTGCCATTGTGGCAACCACTTTCTACAGTGGCGCTGATCCTGGTCGTCATGGAAATTCCAAGTCTGGAGGGATATTGGGACGAGGAGAGACCAGAAGGTGAGCTGGCCAGTGGGCGAGGTGGAGGGTTTTCCAAAACCCAGGGAGGAGCAGAAGTACAGCTACAAAATGCATAGATAAAAAGTAAGAGGTGAATTTGACTTTTCAAGACAATATATTTATACCAAATCTGGAGCAGAGCAGATCTTAAACCAGCGATTATTACTTTTTAACC